AACAATTAGGTGGTTGATAACTAGACCACACTAGGTACTGTTGCAAGCTCCGCCCCATTATCCCCGCCCATTTCTCAGCAGACAGGGTTTTCCGAGATGCTTCATGAAATCTGCTCCCTCGGCTTTTTTTCGTTCTTGCCCTTTGCACACACACTTCAACTGGAAAAGGTTGGTCTTACATCTGGATCCACAGTGAAGTTACGTAAGTTCTGAATTTTTATAACTTTTTTCGACGTAGTTCTTTTCACATCCAATCTTCACAAAACGAATAACCATGCACAGCACACCAGGCCCCGCCCCTCTGACTCCGCCCACTTGTGTTTATCGCGGAATTTTGGTTTTCTTCCCGGATTTTCGCTTTTTAGGCTTTAGCGATTGGGCTCCGCCCAGCCAATGGAAAGCTCCGGCCCACTTTAGAAGAAAAACCCGCCCCTTTCGAAAATTGATGCCAAATCGGCGGGCAAGTGTCCCTACCTGCCGCGATTTACCGCCTCTTCCTCGCTCAGAACAAAGTTTTCATTTTTTTTCGGTTTTCCCTTTTTTTTATTCTATGTGCCGGGAGAGGCCGTAATGCGCCGGTACGGACACTAGCCCGCCGATTTGCATCATTTTTGAAAAGTGGGCGGGGCTTCCCCAAAGTGGGCGGAGCTTCCATTGGTGGGCGGAGCCAATCGCTAAAGCCTAAAAAAGCGAAAATCCGGAAGAAAAAGCAAAATTCCGCGATAAACACAAGTGGGCGGGGTCAGAGGGGCGGGGCCTGGTGTGCTGTGCATGGTTATTCGTTTTGTGAAGATTGGATGTGAAAAGAACTACGTCGAAAAAGTTATAAAAATTCAGAACTTACGTAACTTCATTGTTAAGTGGGCGGAGTCAGATCTGTATAGGTATCAACCTTTTCCAGTTGAAGTGTGTGTGCAAAGGGCAAGAACGAAAAAAAGCCGAGGGAGCAGATTTCATGAAGCATCTCGGAAAACCCTGTCTGCTGAGAAATGGGCGGGGATAATGGGGCGGAGCTTGCAACAGTACCTAGTGTGGTCTAGTTATCAACCACCTAATTGTAAGGGGTGTGTCCGATTTGATTTGAAAAGTGTCCGATTTGGTTTGAAAAGTGTCCGATTTGGTTTGAAAAGTGTCCGATTTAAAGTGAAAATGGTATATAAATTCGCATAAGTATGTCTGTAAGTGAATTGCACTCGCCAACCAGCTGTTCCTGTTCGCAAATTTGTGTGTGGTGGTGTGTGTGTGTGTGTCTGTCTGTCTGTCTGTCTGTCTGTCTGTCTGTCACGAAATTCATAGCGAGCGTCGCAGGAAAGATAGGATGACAGTTTCAAGAAGTGATATACATGGCAGGACGGGAACTCTTTTAGTGGGTGACAGAAGGTGATAACAGCCTGATAGGCGTGCTGATAAGGAACGTTACGTTGTTGTTCTGTCGATGAGCAATTCTCACATCCAGCAATTTCATCTCTCCTAGACCTCCGGACTTCTATGCTAGCGAGATGATCAAACTCGTTTCCCTTTAGCGGAAATGCGTCCAGTAAGACTGTTATTTTGATTGATACAGTATTATTGAAGCCGCAAAAACTGCACTTGAAATCTGAAGTCGCAAACCGTAAGAACTTTATTCGGCACATGATGCTTCGCTCGAACTGAGCGGAGCGCCTAAGCGCTTGCTGTGTGCATCATAGTACATGATCTTCACAGGATGTGACATTTTGAGGGAGACTTGGTTCAGTGAATGAATGCCAGAATACAAGAAATAATCTCGCTTTTAGCTAGTATTCGCGATGAGAGGTAAACATTCTCAAAGATTTAAGCGGCCTAGTGAGCAGGAACGAAAATTTTCGATCCTCCTCCATCTTCTATCATGACGAAAGTGCACTCTTCTGCGGACATTTCAAGCATGCAGTGGAACCGTTTAGGCCAGAATACGGCAAACTCGCTAGCAATTCCACAGTTTCGTCATACTCGAACTACATGCTAACAGCGGATAGTTTCACTTCCAACAAGAGTTTCTGCTACCTGTTCGCTCCCAAATCTTCACTTACTTGAGCAAACCACGCTTATCTTCCGCTGACATCTCGCCAACGACACTCCAGAATAAATCCATGTAGTTGCGATCGGCTTCGTCTGAAGTAGAATAACGTAACTGAGCTGCAGCACCTCCCTGTCAATAAACAATTACAAGTAAGCTTGCCTCGAATGTTGTGTACAGCACAGTGCTTCATCATATCGTCAACGTCCAAGTCAGCGTCGGCACCACTGACCAAGGTCTGCAGCTCCGATGGCGAGAACATTGCTAACCAGCCAGGATCAATCACAGTCGATAAGCCGGCTCGCATCGCATCCACCAGCGGTTCAATCTGATCAATTGGGATTTTTCAAGAAATGCTCAAGATACTGAACAAATGCAGTCGCCTGCTCATGATGTTGAAGCTGAACAGACTGGGTGACGTGGTGGCAATGGTCACTAACCCGTTTGAAGAGGAAGAAGTTTACATAGGCTCGTATGTATTCCAGGCGATTGTCGACTGTCACACGAATATTTCGGCCACCAGATACGAGGTCTACGCTCTGAAGTCATGGTAATCTCAATTCACATTAGATGATGGTCACGATATTACTGAGAATGAAAAGTTTACAAATTCACCTGCACGTCACCAACATCGTCTACGATTACACTGAAGTCGAGTTCTAAAGCTGCAAGTTCATCAGCTGTTAAGCTGCGGAGATTCTTCAGATGTCTGAATGGTACAAGTTCATAAATTACTGATTACCTATCAATAAAGGGTGAATTGGCGAGTTCTTGCTCGTGTCCATATAGCGAATTTTATGAATATTACTTGCCGCCGTCCGACATTTCGTTGCTTAGCCCAAATACCAGCAAGAGAACAGAACAAAATAAGGCAGAGAGGTCAGCCGCGTGACGAGAGGGACTGTTGTGTGGGCAGAACGAGGGCTCATAAAATCGAACTCGCTCGGACAGAACAGCAAGCATTTTTACTTCAAGGCTGATCACTGAGCAGGAGATCATATGCTTCGTTTCCTCTTTCTAAAATTCATGACTTGCTTAGACTTACTTGTATATAGCCGGATCATACGATTTCAGATGATGCAGGTCAAGATCTGCACGACGCTTGCCTAGGAGCTGTGACACGAAGAACTCGGCGAAGCGGATCTCAGCCATTTGCTTCTCGTAAATTAACTACAAATGTTGATAAAATACATCGAAAAAAAAACTGACTTGAAACTAAAAACTTCATATTATCGCGAATTATTGAGTGAAGTGTCACAGACCACGAACACTCTACTTTTCGAAAAATCGAGAGGAGTCGGCCGCGGTACCTTGTAAGAATGGTGTAAGAGTATCGTTTCTCGGGAGATATTCTGTTTTTCTAAACACACTTGCCCCTCAAACTCAATGTGAAATGGCTGTTTGCTTCAACAACATTTAATGAGTACTCGATATGAAATTTTCGTTGGTAATGGTACAATTGACCAAATGTACAAGACACCGATGTCAAAGAATATCCTCCTGCATTCTCGAATGCGCATCCACTTTACATGAAGGCTAACGTGATAAGAAACCTTATCGCTACGAAGGTACGGACATGCACAAGAGAAGAGGTGGATCGGAGAATAGCGAAGATCTTGGAAGAGAATGGGTGCACGACGATCGAACCAAGAACATGGCGACCTTTCTTCGCTGCACGAGGAGTACCATTGGTTTTACCATAGTTAACGAAAGAGTAGCAAAGAAAGTCAATCCACCATTAACTCGTCACACCTTCCAGCCAAGCTAATACTCCGGCCACCCGGAAAATCTGAGAAGCTTGCTAACATCACGTATCTAGCTGAAGCAGAAAGTGGCCGAGGAGTAAACTGTCTCGCTACTGTACAGGTAACAAAATCTGCCGGCTACGCGGGACAGTCTACCTGGTCACATGCGAAGGATACAGTCGAAGATATGCTGGTAAAAAAATGCGACCTTCACATGTAAGGATGGACGAAAATGTGCAGGCCTTGCGAAATCCCTCGTCTTACCCCAAGAGTGGATTTTCGCGATCGACATCGCACGATCTTTCACCAACGAAAAACCCCTCCCGCCTAAAAGTCACGGCGTTACACCGCTCGG